GTGATCCTTCCAGATATCATATCTGAGGAACAGTCTGCGTTTGTCCCTGGCAGACTGATAACTGACAACATCATCTGTGCATATGAGCGTTTGCATTTTATGAAGAGAAGCAGGGCTAAATCTAGTAGCTTTTGTGCTTTGAAGCTCGACATGATGAAAGCATATGATAGGCTAGAGTGGTCTTACCTGCGCGCTATGATGGAGAAACTGGGCTTTGCGCAATCCTGGGTGCAGATAGTAATGGGTATGGTTCAGTCAGTCTCCTTTTCAGTTCTTTTTAATGGAGAAAAGTTAGAACAATTTTCACCGAGTAGAGGTATACGACAGGGAGATCCTATCTCTCCTTACCTTTTCTTGATTGCGGCAGAGGGCCTTTCGTGCCTTTTAAAGACAAGTTCTAATTCGTCAGGGTTTGAGGGTATTAAGGTGGTAGCGTCTGCACCGCCTATAAATCATCTTCTGTTTGCTGACGACAGCCTGCTGCTATTCAAGGCAAGTGATCAAGGTGCGGCTAGGGTTTCAAACCTGCTGGAAACCTATTGTAATGCTTCTGGGCAGAGAATCAATCATGCAAAATCGTCCATATTTTTTAGCAAGGGGTGTCCGAAAAATCTTCGAGATAGTATCAAGCAGAATTTGAATGTCCAGAACGAATCTTTAAGTGACCGATACTTGGGTATGCCTACAGATGTTGGACAGTCCAAGATGGGCACGTTCAAGTACTTGCGCGACAGAGTTTGGGAAAAGGTGAGAGGTTGGATGGAGAAATTATTATCGGCAGCCGGGAAGGAAGTGCTAATTAAATCGGTGGCTCAAGCTATTCCGGTTTACTCTATGGCTTGTTTCAGATTACCCCGAGGCTTGTGTGACAACATCAATGCTATCATCCGTCAATTCTGGTGGGGTAGTAAAATGGGCAAGAGAAAGCCCGCGTGGGTCTCGTGGGATGTTATGACAAAACCAAAATACTTGGGAGGAATGGTCTTTAGAGACATCGAGATCTTCAACTTGTGCTTGTTGGCTCGGCAAGCGTGGAGGCTGCTCGATGATCCACTTTCTCTTAGTGGAAGATTGCTTAAGGCGGTCTATTTCCCAAATACGTCTTTCATGGAGGCAGAGTTGGGTAGCAACCCTTCGCAGATTTGGCGAGCGTGCTGGATGGAAGAGATATTTTGAAACAAGGCATCATAAGGAGAATTGGGAACGGGGCAACCACAGACATTTGGAACACAAACTGGATTCCCAGGATTGGGCCGATGCGACCGATCATTTCGTTAACGGATGATCCGCCGTCTAGGGTTGCGGATTTGATTGACCACACCACGACGACCTGGCGCGAAGATGTCATTCGGGCAACCTTTCTTCCTTTCGATGCTGAAGCGATTCTTTCCCTGCCCCTTTGTACGAGGGCAATCGAGGATTTCTGGGATTGGACAGGAGAGCGGAGTGGCAGATTTTCGGTAAAGTCGGCCTATCACTTAATTCAAAACAAAAGGGAGCATAGGGAGAACTGGATGGAAGAGAATGCCGGCGCCTCTGATCTTCAGGATAACAGTACTGCCTGGACTGATTTATGGCACACAAAGGTACTATCCAAGCTGAAAGTTTTCCTCTGGCGTTTAGCAAGGCACTCGATGCCTACAGCAGATCTCCTCCACCACCGAAATATGTCCACAACGAGAACATGTGCGCTGTGCGGGCGAGATGATTTGTGGAGACATGCTCTGCTGGAATGCACAAATTCACGGTGCACATGGGCACTCTCTGATCAACATTTGGTGGAACAAATAAGTATGAATGATGAGGCTAACGCAAGAATTTGGCTCTTTAATCTGCATGATACTCTGAACCAGGAGGAGTATACGGTGTTAGTGGTGACGCTATGGGCCATTTGGCGAGCTAGACGGAAAGCGATCTATGAGGACGTTTTCCAGAGCCCCCAAGACACAAACCAGTTCATCATATCCTACTTAAGGGATCTAAAAATCATACAGGAGCCAGGGTCAGAGAGAAGGCAAAAAACTGCTGCCCGGCCAATGCGATGGCTTCCTCCCATGGATGGTTGCCACAAGATTAATGTGGATGCAGCGGTCGCACGTGGCAGAGGGGTGGCGGCTGCAATCTGCCGCGACAGCAATGGTGCTTTCCAAGGTGCATCAGCAATCGTTATCAGCGGAATGAGCGATGCTCCAACGTTGGAATCCCTTGCTATAAGGGAAGGGCTTGCATTGGCGGATGATCTAAATGTGCGACATGTTCACCTTGCTTCGGACTGTCAGGTTGTTATTGATGACCTCAAGCAAACGAATCCAACTAGCTATGGTGCTATTCTACATGAAATAACGGAGCACAAAGCCTCTTTTGGGGTTTGTAACATTGTGCATGAGTTTAGGAGCTCGAATTTCGAAGCTCACAATCTAGCGAAGCATGTTTTGAAGTTAGGGGTGGGCCGCCATGTTTGGTTAGGACACCCCGGAAACTTATCTTTCATTTCTGTAAACATTGATGCAGTTTAAATAAAGCTTCGCAAGATTGTCTCAAAAAAAAGCTAACCGTATTCATTGGGGGATTCAGTTACCATTAAGCTGATATTGGCAGCCGACTGCAATTTTGTTTTGGTTGGTGAGATGTCGTGTTTGCTGCGTGCTACCCTTGTTCTGGCGAGCTTCTGGTGTAGTTTCTCTGGCATTTTTGTACTGCAATTTTGCTTCTTCGCTTGTTCCCATCAATCTGGCATCTGTGTATATATGCATAATCTCATATTTTATGTCTTTAAAATGTTGTCAAATTGAATGAAAAATAGAAAACAGGGAATACAAAAAAAATAACAGAACTATGCCGACGGCTATATGCTGACGGTGAAACCAGTAGCCGACAGGTGGCAAGCTATGCCGATGCTTAAGCCATCAGCGTAGTCCTTCACACGTGGACGCCCGGGTGTCGACACGTGGCCATCTAAGCCGACGGCCCCGTCGGCATAGTTTTTTGTCCAGGGGCGATCTGGTGCCGCCACGTGGCGTAGGTAAGCCGACGGCCAGGCCTTCGGCTGCCTGGCCGTCGGCTTACCTGCGCCACGTGGCGGCCCGTGGTTCGGCTGGCGTCGTCAACGGCCGTCCCGTGCAAAACTACGCCGACGGTGATTCTACGCCGACGGCATATCTATGCCGACGGTCTGACAAGAGTATGCTGACGTAATCTACGCCGACAGGCCTATGCCAACGGGAGCCGTCGGCTTAGATCTACGCTGACGGGAAAGAGCCTATGCTGACGGCCCGTCGGCATAGGCCGTGGAACCGGTAGTGTTTGCGGCTTTGCCCCTACCATGCCGCGCACAGGAGATGCCGCCACTGCCGAGACTGTCAAAGATGACCCCTACCCATGAAAATGAGACCCTCATATTGCTTGCTCCAATCAATGTCAGTGGAGGCCTTTGAAGGATTGGGCATATATGTTACAGGTACTCATTCTGCTTCTCTATTTTCATTCCAGAGACCACAATAATGAACTTCGTTATAATATGCTCTCTGTCGCAGCCAAGCATATGACAGCTAACCGTATTCATTTAGGGATTCAATTACCATTAAGCTGATATTGGCAGCCGGCTGCAATTTTGTTTTGGTCAGTGAGATGCCGTGTTTGCTGTGTGCTGGTGAGCTTCTGGTGTAGTTTCTCTGGCATCTTTGTACTGCAATTTTGGTTCTCGCTTGTTCCCATCGATCTGGCTAGCAAAGACTTCTCAACGCCACCTTAGATGGGGATGGGGCAGAATGTGTTGACTGACTAGTCAGGTCTCTGCAAGTCACAGTCTCAAGAAAAGTAGATTTGCATTCTAATGGCCATCTCACTTTCACTCAAGGCCGCCTTCGATGGGCCAGAATGTGTTGACTGACTCGTTGGGTCTCCGGCAGTCACAATCACAAGAAAAGTAGCTGTGCATCCAGTGGCCATCTCACTTTTAGCTCGCATCGAGCCAACAACAGTCACATCCACCGGAGTCCTGGATGCCTACTTTTCTTGTGGCTGTGCCCGTATTTGTGGGTACACATCGCTCTCCGTTGCATCTTCTTAGCCGGGTCAAGTGTGGTCATAATTATGCAGTAGCAAGGCCTCCCCGAGACATACATCCGCCATACAACCTTAAACTCAATTCCCATCTACTTGTGACCTGAATTTCACCAGTGAAGTTCAGAGCTGTACCAGGCCTGCAGATCGTGGGCATCCTGCTGATGATGTATGCAGCACTCTCCCTGTTGATACTCGGGTCGCTGGGGACAAAGCTAATTGGGCTAACATCTGGAGCTATAACAAGCCACAACCCCGGAGAAAACTGGGTGCAGCCGTCAGGCGCCACCCTTGATGGCTGCCCTACAAGCTGTGGCAATCTGAGCTTCAACTACCCCTTCGGCATCGGATCCAGGTGCTCCCGTGGGCCTGATTTCAACCTCACTTGCAACGACACCACCGTTGATTCCCCCAGACTCTTCTTCCGCGACGGCATCATTGAGGTTATTGACAACATCGATGTTCTTACTGATGGGAATTACTATGGGCCTCACACCTTAATCAGGGCCTCCTTCTTTCGTACCATTCCTATGAAATCTAGTGCCAGTGTCTACCACATGCCTTTTAAACCGCCTGGGAGTTACTTCACCATTGATAGTTCCACCATTCTGAACATCACTGGTTGCGATCTTGATGTGTATTTGGTCGATGATGACAAACTCAGGACCAAGTGGGTTTGCAGAACTGTGTGCCCTGACCAAGGAATCACAGAAATGGTGGCTATGCACAACTGTAACGGCTTCGGATGTTGCCGTGTTGAGCTGGTAACTCCTGACGCTGATGGTTTTCACTTCAAATTTTTCCGCCTCCACAGGAAAAGCAACACCGGAGCAAGCTCTAAGGAGACCTCTCGGTTGTAGGATAGAATCAGCAAAACTACCGATGGGGGCTTTTGGGTCTCATGGCGTATAAGGGATCAACCAACCTGTGTTGCTGCCATGCGAAACAGGAGCACCTATGCATGTGTGAGCAAGCATACCAAGTGTCGTGACAGTAGTTGTAGCAAAGATGTCAAGTGCGTTGACGGAGGCATGCCATCAAGAGATGGCTATGAATGCAACTGCATTAATGGCTATCCAGGCAACCCCTACATTCCAGATGGCTGCTCCAACGACAAAGGTGACTTACTTCTGTTATAAGCGACCAAACGCACAACTGTTGCTCTATATATTTTTGGGCTTTGGAACTTGAGTACATGATTGCATCCTTACAATTTATTGTTCAAAGTAGGTTATAATCCATTTCCAAGCAGAACTAATTGTACAAGTCAGTGCGGTAACATTATTGTACAATTCCCATTCGGCTTAGAAGATGGCTGCTTTGCAAGAGAAGAGTTTCACCTCAATTGCACAAATATGACGTCATCTGCTGTCCTAAAGATGTCTGATTCTCAGGTAATCGGCATGAATGTTACTGAAGGGACCATTAAGCTCACGGAACGTGAAGCAGTATACGCCATATTTGGAGGAGGGCGCAATCTTTTTGTTGGTTTTGAGCTGTCTGTGAAATGGGCTGCTGCTAATCTAAGTTGTCTAGAGGCCCAACAGAATAGATCTGGATATGCTTGTGTGAGTATGAACAGCAAGTGTGTAGCGGTCAACACTGCAGACAACTACATTGGTTACCGCTGCATATGCTCAGAAGGCTTCCAAGGGAATCCATACATTCAAAGTGGCTATCAAGGTAATCACACACAGTCACAATCTTTCTCTCATTGCCATCTCGTTGAGGCCCCTGGTCTTCACTACATGCCCGAATTCATTTTACATTGATAAAGTGGCTGTCAAGGAATTTTTTTTTCATTTTTTACATTGTTTCTTAACCTGAATTCAATTGCTAGGCAATTGTCCTTCTGTTGTTACCTATGGCATGTTTTCGCTTTGCACAAATACTGAAGTGGTACTGAAATTGATTTGCATTACAGAATGGGCAGGTCCCTAAACTTGTCATAAAGTAACAAATCTCTCAAGCTGAAACAGATGCCTGAGGTGTCACTTACACTTTTAATATAGCTAAATTCAGAGCTTACACTGAAACGAAGGTATTTACAGTGATATTGGTCATTATGTGACCCAAAATTGCTGAATTAGTCATCTGCCTAATTAATGATTGATAGTAGTTTATCATATCTCTATTCGATTGGCATGCCACCACCTTTAGCTAACTATTTAAATTTATCAGCATCAGTATTTCATTTCATGCCTATTTTACCAGTATTTGAAATTTTACCTATTTCAGTGCTGTAGTGGTCACAGTGGTGTAGTTTGCATATATTTGGCACTCCATTAGCGACTTGTCACACGTTTATGGACCTTTCAAGTTTGCTCAGACCTGAGTAATACATTACTGCGATACTATAGGCCTTTGATACAGTGAATGTTTTAGGAAGCCATGGCTGTGAATGATGAAGGTGCTCATGACGTAATTGTAGGAAAAGCCACATTAAGTTTACTTTAATGTGTAAGAAATAACATGCTTTGGACTGTGCAGCCGAAGGAACAAACCAAGCTGGCAAAAAAAAAAAGGAATATTAGAATCAATAGATTGTCAATTTAGAAAATCCACTCAGTCATGCTCGCCACCCTTAGACATGTGCCTGACTATCCAGTGGCGCAAGGAGGACTTTTTCCTCTCATGTAAGAGGTTTCTTTTTGAATTCAGAGTAGTCACCGAATTTACGGATTCTATCCTAGGTGGATTAGGTTGGTTTTGGATGCCGTAATCTGTATAATGAGGCATCAGCTACTGAATGGAGCATACAAGAAGTTATAGTTAATTTCTCTTCGTCTGCTCTCTTCTGTGCCCTGGACACCGCTGCCGTCCCCATTGCCCCAATCCACGGGTCACTACATGCACAGATGTTCTTCTTTTCAATTGGAAATAACAACCATGTTTCTTGTAACTATGTTCATAGTAGTATGATAATAAAAATGGGACTGTTTGCTCCATAAAGTTGCAGCTTTGTATTCCTGGAAAATACGATTCAGTATTAGTGTTGTGATGATTCATCCGAAAAAGGGTCGACCAGGAAGCGTACACAAAACGCAGAAGAGAAAAACAAGAGCCTGCGGGCAGATTAGAAAAATAGAAAGAAAAAACAGAGAAGAAGTAAACGGTGCAACACAAAAGTACATCGTCATCTCTAGAGAGAAAAGCCGACGCCGCCACTTCTCCCTTAATAATGGCAGGCGTACCTGCAGGAAAAAACAACCTGTACTAAAAAAACATGTCAATTGTGCATATTATTAGACCGTGAAAATACTTGTCTGCATCTCATTTTTTTTAAATCATTCTTGTAGGTTTCATTTAATCAGATGATGTAACATATTCAATGTTATACATTGTGTTGATGCTTCTTGCCTACCTCTTGTTTATTTCAGATGTTGATGAATGTCGTGAACCAAACATTTGTAAGGGAATCTGCCATAATACCGAAGGAAGCTTCAATTGTACTAGTTGTCCTCGGAAAACTGAATATGATGCAGGAAAAATGAGGTGTACTACAACGAAACAACAGACTCTGATTTTAGGTAAGAGTGTTGTTATATTTATGAAGTGTGAAAGACGAGGTAGAAGAGAAGAGACTTAAAAAGCTTAGTGCCTGCAGGTATTATTATTGGGTTGTCTTGTGGCTTCAGCATTCTATTTTTGAGCTTTACTACACTATTTCTCGTGAGAAGACAGAAAACATATGTTAAAAAACAAATACGGAAGAAATGTTTCAGGAAGAACCAAGGTCTTCTTCTTGAAATGTTGATGTCATCAGATGGAACTACTGAAAATGACAAATCAAGGATTTTCTTGTTAGAAGAACTAGAAAAAGCGACAAACAACTTTGATCCTACATGTGTCATCGGACGTGGGGGCCATGGCATTGTTTACAAAGGCATATTATCTGATCAACGCGTCGTTGCAATAAAAAAGGCTATGGTCATTGAGCAGTGTGAGATTAGTCAATTCATCAATGAGGTCGCAATCCTCACTCAGATAAATCACAGAAATATTGTAAAGCTCTTTGGATGTTGTCTTGAAACTGAGGTCCCATTGTTGGTGTATGACTATGTATCCAGTGGCTCACTGTCTCAAGTTCTTCATGCTGATTCAAGTGATGGTTTTTCTCTGTCTTGGGGTGACTACTTAAGGATTGCCCTGGAGACAGCTAGAGCTCTATCTTATCTCCACTCTTCAGCTTCAATATCAATCTTCCATCGTGATGTGAAGTCCTCAAATATTCTCCTGGACGAGAACTACACAGCTAAAGTTTCAGATTTTGGTGCTTCTAGACAGGTTCCAATTGATCAAACACACATTTTTACCAATGTACAAGGTACATTTGGGTACTTAGATCCAGAGTATTTCCATACCAGACAGCTGAACGGGAAGAGCGACGTGTACAGTTATGGTGTGCTACTAGTGGAGTTGCTTCTCAGAATGAAGCCTATTTTCACAAGTGAATCGGGCACAACCCAGAACTTGTCAAATTATTTCCTTCAGAAGTTGAAGGATGGAAAAATCACAAGTATTGTTAGTTCTCAAGTCCTTGAGGAAGCAACTGAGGAAGAGATCAGGAGTGTTGCCTCTCTCGCAGAGGCGTGCTTAAGGCTACACGGTGAAGAAAGACCCACGATGAAACAAGTGGAGATGGAGATGCAGACTCTGCGAACGAAACGGGAGAGCTCATGTCAAGCAGGTCCGAGAAATGAAGGACGGACACAACCAGGATCACTAACTCGAAGAAGTTCTAAAGCTGCTCGCCAATCATCTGCTATGATATTTGGTGAGAGAATCAATTTATGGTCAGGAGACAGCCAGCAATGCTATAGCTTGGAGCAGGAGTTCATGTCATCTGCTACTATACCGCGGTAGGTATGTCCAGTAAGTTTATAATAATGGACGCCTATGTCTTGAATGATTATAGGTAAGTAGTGTTGTAAATCAAGTTACGCCCAGTTAATTATGATCATCATGATTGTATAAGCTTTTGATTGTAATAATGCTGCTCTATTTGTAGTTATGTAAACTACAATTCTTATCTTAGAGATGTGGATTGAGTTGAACTCCTGCAGTACCACTTGCCTATTAGACAATTATTATCTTTGTGGGTGGAAGGAGGAACCATGGGCTGCAGTTTTGTTTGCTATGGTCCAAGATGGCCATAGTGAGGAACGGAGGGCGTGCCCCTCCACTGCCCGGCGGCAGAGATCCACCGAGGCGTCGTCTTCTTCTGGTTCCTCCTTCCATCCACAAATTGCTTGCTCTGTTCCAGCCAGCAGTCATACCCTTCACTACCGCAACAGGGCTCGCTGCCGACGGTCGAATATATGCCGATGACCACCATCGGCCTTCTCCAGGCTATGCCGATAGTTGACCCCGGGCCGTCGGCGTACAACAGCCGTCGAGCTATCACAGGATACGCCGACGGCCCCCGTCGGCAAAGAACAGCCGTCGGCTTAGCCCGGGCTACACCTATAGCTAAGTCAGCATAACTGCGGGCCCGGCGACTACACACGCGACGGGCGGCTAACGGCATCGGATCTATGCCGACAACGGTGACGGGCGGCCGTCGGCATAGATACGGGTGCCACGTCATCGATCCAAAGCGCACCGACCAAGGCTATGCCGACGGCTGTCATTGGCATAGATGACACGTCGTCGATCCGCGGTGCGCCGTCCATAGTCGTCGGCATGCCTATATTTTTTTGCATTTTTTTGCATAGGTATATTTTTATGTTTTTTACGTATTATTTGACTAACTCAAATGTAGCATGTGTTAATATGAGCATACATACATTATTTTTTGG